AGCTGCCCCTCCTCCGTGCCCTACATGACCCCTTAGGGAAGCCCCACAGCCAGGCCAAACAAAGGCCAACAGCCTGTCAGGCCACCATCCCCAAGCTAGGAACCACAGGTGACCCAGGATCCACTAGTATCCAGTATCCTGGCTCAAAGGCAGGCCATGCTGTTCTGGACCTGGGTCTAATGCCTTTATCACTCTGTCACACAGAGCCTGAACTCCATGTCCAAGTGTCAGAATCCTATTCGCTGCCTCTCCCCCATTTCTGTCCCATTCCCATTTTAGGGCACACAGGTGACCCCAAGCACAGACATTCACCTGCCCATCCATCCTCTTGTGTCCTCTTGGCCCTGGAAAACCCTCATCCTCAGTCCCTCACTTGGCAGCCACTTATGAGATGCCTACTAAATGCCAAGCTGGCTCCCCAAGGCTGGAGTCCACAGGGAGCAAGACAGACATTCTGCCCTTGCGTCTCTGGGAGTTTGCGTTTAGTTGGGTAGACATGCAATACACAAGTAAAGATCATTTTACCCAGGAGTCAGTGTGAAGAAGGAAACGAGAGGTCAGGCATAGGCAGAGAGGGCTTCCTGGATGAGGTGACAATTGCATGGAAACCTGATGGCTGGAAAGGAGCAGACACGGGCAGATCTGGGTACAAGCTATCCACATGCACAAAAGCCAGGCGGTGGGAGCACGCTGGAGAAAAGAGGAGCAGAGCCAACGGAAAGCAAGTGGCCAGAGGTCAGAGCAGCCAATGCCGTGCAGCTCTTGGCACCCACCTCTGTCCTGTCTGCTCTGTTGACAGCCTGCCTTGACCTGGAAGGTAGGGCTGCCCTAATCATTGGTGAACACCAGTGATTAAGGAAGCCACAGGATCTGGATTCAAATTTGACCAACTTTTGCCTAGTTGAGTGAGTTCAGCAAAAGAATTGCCCTCCTGGGCCTCAGTTTGCCCATCAGGAAACAAGGAAGAAAAAGCAAGGAACATCTTCTAACAGGGTGTTGCAAGGCTCGGCTCAGTGTCAGGCCCATGGTGAGTGCTTAGTCAATGTTAGCCAAGATTGAAAATCCCTCCACTCTGACGCCAGGCAGGGCCTAATTATAGATGCCCAGAGGTCACTTTTCAGCCCCTTGTGACTTGGGCCAAGAGCCAAGAAAGCTAAACTGCCTGGCAAAGGAAGTGTCTCCCTGCGGTCCCAGCTCTGTCCCCAGGCTGGCCGACTCCCTGTCCACTCGTAGGTGTACAGCCCCTGACCAGCCCAGGGGCAATGCCAGGCAGGGGCAGAATGACAGACTCAGGCCAGACTGGCCAGTGAAAAGCCCAGGCAGTGCTCAGTTGCCTGGTGGTCTACTAAGTGGAGACGGCAGTGGACCTCGCCTCCCTGGCCGTAAGAGGGCCCAGAAAAAGACCTAAACCCCAGCGGGGCTCCGTTCACCCTCCATACTCCACAGCTCACACAGATGTGGAAGTGGCTGTGATGCAGACAAACGCTCCCTGAGGCCTTTCTATCTTTTATCCAGCTCTGCGTTAAATACTTTGAGTACAGAAATGTCCATGACAGCCACCCAGGGACTTACAGAGCCAACAAAGAGGTCGGCCAGGTGGCAGGGGCCTGTGGAATGTGCTCAAAGAACAAACTAGAGGTTCCAGAGAGAACAACCGTTCTTGTTTGCTCTCTCTGCTCTGCTGATTCAGCCTCCCAGCATCCAGGCCCGATCCAACAGGCCTCAGGCTCTGGAAACTTGCGGAGGACACAGCATCCCCAACAGTGGAACCCCATGTTGTGACCCTGCCTTCCAAAATGATCATATTTGCCCCAAGATCTCAGTTCAAGTCCTGGGTCTCCATCCAGCTGCAAAAACTCGTGCAAGGCATGGAGGAGGTGATGCCTCAGTTCCTCACTTGTGACACAGATGAAAATGAAAGCACACTGTTGGGGCTGTTTGTGGGTTCATGTGATCGTGGGGCTGTTATTTTGTGCTCTAAAGACTACAGCGACAATCACTGTTCTCTTCATTGTCTAGGACATGCTGCAGGCTCCAGCAGCAGTATCACCAAGGAGGTTCAAGGAGAGACACACCTTTACTATACCCTTTGGCACCAAACCATTGGATGAAGCTAGGAAAAACTATCCACTCTTGTTTTTTCTTGGTCACCTCCTGGAAATGAGGACACTATGCTAAACAGAGATGACCACCAAAGTTTGCTGCTGTCTTTCTGTATCTTAGACCTATTGCTATTAAGCAGATGATCATACTGGAACTACATTTCCCAGGAACCTTTGCAAATAGGAAAGGTCATGTGATTTGCTCTTGCCAATAGACTGTGAGAAGAAGTGATGTACATCACTTTTGGACTAGGATGGTTAACCAGTAGTTGTATCTCTTCATCCCCTCTTTCCATATCCACCAGAGAGATTGAGGAAGCTCCAAGGTATATGTTAAAGATGGTAGAGCCACAATCAAGTCCTTTTCCATGTTGCCCAACCAAAACTGCCAGTGGTGGGCTAGCATATTAGTGAGAAATAAGCTTATTCTGTGCTATCCACTGAAGCAACAGTTACCTGTTGCAGTGGCTGGCACTGCTCTAACTGGTACACATCTACTGTGTGTACATACAGATAGTCCCAAATCAGGATGGCTCAGTTTACAATGGTGCTAAAACCATATGCATTCAGTAGAAACTATACGTTCCATTTTTGGTTTTGATATTTTCCCTAGCTGGTGGGTGATACGCAATAGAGTCCTCCTGGCAGTGCTGGACAGTGGAAGCAAGATGCAGTTCCCAGCCAGTCACAGGACCGGGGGGAACAACTAGTACTCTACAGTACACTGGGTGACCTTGTGTTTTGGACAAATATATGTAATAAGTTACATGAGATATTCAATACTTTATCACTACTTTGTGTTAGATCATTCTGCCCAACTGTAGCACATTTAAGGTAGGTTCAGCTACTCTAAAGGGTTTAGTAGGTTAGGATGTAAAAACATTCTTGACTTAATGATATTTTCAACTTTTGATGGGTTTATTGGCATGTAATTCCATTATAAGTTAAGGAGCATCTATATTTTTTCCACTTGTATGTACATTATCTCACATAACACTCAGCAAATCTTTAATAATACAATATACAATAAAACAGCCTCCTAGTCCTCGGAGTGGTTAATTTGTGCCAAGCACAGAGCTAAATCCTTTGCGTACACTTTCTGAGTTGTCTCACTACAGCTCTGTATTGTAGGCTCAAGGATTATTATTATACTCACATCACAGATGAGGAAACTGAAACTCGACAGCTTTCAAATCCCGTCCAAAGTCATCGGCCCATAAATGGAAGTGGCTAGGTTGGAGCCATTGTCCACATTCCTACCATGGCGCTCCGCTGTCTCTGAGAGCCCAAGGGGGCCGACACTGCGAGCCCTGATTTACAAGTGAGGACATTAAAGCTCAAAGAAGGTCCACAACTTGGCCAAGGCCATGGAGTTAGCATGGAACCCAGCGTCTTCCGGCCCTAACCCAGTGCTCTTGGTTTACCCACACTGCTGCCTGTGTTGCCTGCGCTGGCAGATGTCAAAAAAGTGAGCCCATTCCCATCCCCAGTGCTCAGTGCCATAGCCAAAGGTGGGCTTGGCATCTGCAGCATCTGTTGCGTTGCAAAGTGAATTTTCCTCTTGGCAGCCTCGCCTCATATGAAACACCCGGGAGTGCCTCATGGCTTCCAAAGCACTCTTAATTTCTGTCCGATCAGGACGTCCTTCTCTCTAGGGGAAAGGGACAGGTGGGAAGAGGACATGCTCCTGAGGGCCCCTCTGCAGTGCTTCTTCATGTTCTTCCCCTCAGCAGTCCTGTCCCTGCAGTCGGAGTCAGGAAAAGGGGCAAAAACGAGGACGGAGGGGAACTGTGGCTAAAGAGGCTTTGTTTCCCCAGCAATCGCACGCTCTGGACCCGACCTGGAGGTAAACTAGAGTGAAAGGTAAAGATGGATGTACCAGGTTACTAGGGGTCATGATGGTGCTGGTCCAGGGAGAAACCAGAAAGGCCATCAGTGCCTGGCAACAGGGCACCAGTTACATAATGGATGCACCCATTCAAGGAGTGCTACCGGCTGTTAGAAAGAATCACATGAGGCCGTTCAGGCTGAGATTCTGCAGGAAAAGTGGACACAGAGCAGAAGCCTCCTACACTCCCATTTGTGTTAAAACAAAGCTTATAGTGTTAGCATCACAAGCAGTTATCCAGGGTAATACACGTCACACAGTTTTAGACAGCCACATTCATTGCCTCCTTTAAGCCTTGTAAAACCCTGTAACGTACAAATTCTTATTACCCCCAATTTAAGTATGAGAAAACTGAGGCCTGGGCAAGTTCAAGAAGGAGCACCCAGAGTTACATCTTTAACGAGTAGCAGGGCTGAGATTCAAACCCAGGAAATCTGAAACCACACACACATGCACACACTCACCCGCACAGCAGTAGCTAGCTCTCCATGTGTCCAGAGTGGGGAAGGGTTGGTGGGAAGGGCACGCAGGAGCTCCCTGGAAGCCAGGGGGCTTGGTATCTAACAGCCATCTGGGACAGGAGCTCCCTAAAGACAGAGACCTCTGCCTAAAATCATGATTCTCAAAGAAAGAATGAAGTGGAAAAAAATATGGTGGTCCCTCGGGTCCAAATTTTGGAAAAGATGGTCACATTTGTGTCAGTGTGGGAAAGATGGTCACATCACGTTTGTCACCCAATACAGAATTTGCAAACCAAAATAAATCTTGCCAGAGGCTTCTGTTTGTGAACAAAAGCATTCATGAACCGAGGTGCCACTATGCACGGCAGGCAAAGCACAACGCAAGGCAGTTTGGTGTCATGGTTTGGGCTCCATGTAAGGAAAAGGATTCTGTTAGAACTGTGGACCTGAGGTCACCTCCAGCAACTGAGACTCACAGAAACCCCAGACCAGGGAAGACAGTACCATGGCAAATGGGAAAGGAGCAAATGTGTGATCAGAAGGACTTACCGCTTCAGCCCAGGATTCCCACAGATGAATTTGCAATCACCAAGTAGAAAACAGGCCAGAGAGAAAAGTACCACAGAGCACCTGCACAGTCTGCCGAGGACGAGGACACTCCGCGGTGATGTCTTCAGAGAGGAGGGGAGGCGCGGGGAGCAAATGGCCCTGCACTTAACACGCATCTCGGGTGGCTTGAGTTCCTCAAGGCTCTGGGCTTACACTGTCTTTTCATTTAGTATTGAAAATAATAGGTTTTGTTGGAAATGAAAAAAAAGAAAGGAAGAAAGAAAGGAGAAAGAGGAGGAGACAAGTTAGCTTTGCCACCCCAGCCACGGCCTCTAAGACCGCTCCTACACTACTCCTCCCCAGGCGATGCCGCACAGAACGGAGTTGAGAGGGGTCCCGACCCGCCCCCTCCTCCCCCCAAGGATGCTTGCACTTGCATGTTGGTCAGAGATTGGGGCCCAGGCTCCCAAACAGCTTCCAGCAGAAGGGAGCTGTGCCCAGTCTGGCATGTTCCCTGTGAGTCACGGGTTGGAAGCAATCCCCAAAGTCATGTTTAGGTAGCCTAGAGGTAGGGCTTGGGGGGTGATGAGGGTCCACTGAGGTCATGAGGGCGAGGCCCCAGCAGTGGCATTAGCCCCTTCTGAGACGAGGAAGAGAGAGATGACACACTTGCTCTGTCTCACCATGGGTTGCCCTCTACCGTTCGATGTGGCAGCAAGAATGCCCATCAGAAACTGGTGCCACACGCTCAGGCTTCCAGCCTCCAGGATTTCAAGCTAACTAAACCTCCATTCTTCATAAATTGTCTCTGGGACTCCGTGATGCAACAGAAGATAGATAAGGTACCTGACTCTTCTGCTGGCACCACCAACAGCCAGTTCACTGATTCTCCCTCCTTGCCTTTCCCCCTACCCCACTGTCTGTCTCCATCCGAGCCCCTCTGCACCCTGAACAAACCCCAGGCCCGGCTTAGAATAGCCTGCCTACCTTTTCCATTGATCCCACCAGCCCATGCTCCAGCCAGCGGCCAGCCTGACCTTCCCCAAAAGCAAATGCAAGGAGAAAGTATATTGGTCCCCTCTCAGGCACGGAAGAAACTCCAAGACCTTCCCGCAGCCTGCAGTTTCCTAGAGGCCCTGGTCCCCACTGATTGGTCCCACAATGTCACTCGCTGCATCCCTCCCCAACCCCACCTGCTCATCTTGTCCAGCCTTTGCCAGACCTAAGAACTCCACAGGGCCCACAGTACCAGGTCATTTTCCACATGCAGGGAAACTCAGTTTCAGCCTTCAGATTCAACCTAAATGTTCTCCCTCTCGGGCAGCCTCCCTGCACCCACCTGGAGCAGATGCTGAAGGTGCTCGTGGCTTCCCAAAGACATTTACCCTTCAGTCTCCAGAGCCTGTGAATCTCCAAGCTGGCCTGGCCATAGGGGCTGTGCAGATGTGATTCAGGGAAGGGCCCTGAGAGGGAGCGCTGATCCTGTGTGATCCTGATGGGCCGATATCTTCACAAGCATCCTTACAAGAGTGAGGCGGAGGAACGGGAATCAGGGTGGTGAGCGTGACAGCAGCGGGAAGGAGTGGAAGGTGCTCCAACACTGTTAGTTTTGAGGACAGAGGAAGGACACCAAGTTCAGGACGGTGGCCAGCCTCTAAAAGCTAGAAAAGACAAAGCAACCGATTCTCCCCTTGAGCCACCAGAAGGAATGCAGCCTCTGCGATACCTTGATTTCTGCCCCCTAGAACTCTAAGGTGATTAATATCGGTTGTTTTAAGCCACTAACCATGTGGTCTTTGTTACAGCAGCCACAGGAACCCCACAGAACACTGTTCGTATCCCTCAGAGGCGGCCATCCCTGCGCTCTCCAGGAAGTCCACTCACCGGCTCAGATCACTACTGTGCACCTGCAGAAGGAGCACGGGAACGCTGGAAGTAATGGCCCTGGAAGGCAGGGCAGCAGTGCCACAGCTCCCTCTCCTCACAGGGGCACCACTCCGGCTGCCCACCATGGCAACGCTGGACTCACACATCGTGTATTAGCTGCCTTTCCTGCCCTGTCTCACTGCCCCATCCCTTCCAAGCGTCTCCTGGAATCATCTCTCAAATAAACCACTTGCCCATGAACCCTCGTCTCTGAGCAGCGTAAGGCCCCTTGAGGAACATTTCTTCCCATCTCATCCGCCCTCCCAGGCCATGGCACAATGGTAACTCCACCCCCTCAGTGAAAATGGCTGTGCCAGGCCCTGGAGGGCAGGGCAGGATCCGGCTCCTTCACTGCAGGTCTCCTGGGACTGACATAGGGCCTGGCATGGTGAAAATGCTGGATAAATGTTTGTTGAGTGGCTGGCTGAATAAATCAGCTTTTTAAAGAGAGCAGAGCATCCTCTGGAAGATGCGCAGGTGCTCCCTCTGCCAACAGAGCTTGCAAACTGGTCCTTGGGGGCAGCTTTAATGGAGCCCAAGTTCTGGCTGCAATTAGCAGCCTCCATTTGCATGCAAATAATGGAGGTGCCAGATACTTGAAAAGAGTTGGCTCTCCAGGTGGACTCAGCACCCCCTGTACCCAGCACTTGCTTGGAGGGGTGGACCCTAGCGGGGAGCTCTGAAAGAGCCCAGCTCTGCCACAGGTCCACATACACTTGTAGGGGCCTGGTGGATTTCTATGCAGGCCTTAGACTGCACCTTCCACCTGGATTTCCCTCTGTGCACCTGGGAAACAATGGCCTATATTTCAACATTTATAGGACCCATACAAAGTTTTCATTGCCTTCTCTACTTTGATCTTTCCCCCAAACCCCTACTTTCCAGCCTGCTAACACTTGGGGTATCGGCCTCCACCCTGCCTCTCAGGTGGACATTCCTTTCCATCAGACACCTACTGTGTCTCTGACACCTAGTATACAGTAGGTGTCCAATGCTTGCTGGCTTGTACAGCTGTCCTTCAAAGGTCAGGGGATCACATCACAACTCCACCTCATGGGGGTCCTGAGCCCAGCAGCTGGCCACAGTTGGAATTCTTGAGGCCCAAAACAAGGGGTGGGGAGGATTCCCAGCTGTCTCTAGAGAGAAAAAAGAGATAAGGTGAAAGAAAGCCAAGGGACCAGCCTGCTGGGTAAAAAGCAAGCCCCAGGCATGCCTAGTCCCAGAGCAGCCGCACTATCGGTCACTAACACTACAAGGACCTGCAAAGGGCCTGCTCTTCGATGGTCACAAGCTCCTACTGGGTGGTACTTAGAGGACCTAAGGTGAGGGGGAATGGAGACATCAAGCTTCACGCTGCTGAACCAGGAAAAGAGGGCAATGACCTGGGCTTGGATACAGGGCAGAAGGCCCATGTTTTACCCCATTAGGCAGCCTCAGACAAGTCCCCCGAGTCAGCATGGTGCGATGGAATGATGGGAGGAGACTGACAGCCGGGTTCCAAATCTCCCTCCTACCACTTAGCTCCACACGGATTGGCCTGTCTCGGCCTCCCTCAGGCAGAGCCACTGGGGCCTGCAAAAGATCACTGTCCAATCAGCATGCATCTTACGAGCACCTACTGTGTGCCTACTGTGCTAGGGCCCCTGGACTGGATGCAGTAGACAGAAGCCCTAATATGTGAGGGAGAGCCTTAGTATATGAGCAGGAGTTGAGAGAAACAAGGACAGGATTGGGACAGAGCAGGTTGACCAGAGCCTGGCACATAGCTGGCAAGGGTTGGTGTGATTCTCAGGACAACAGGGAGCTCAGGGAACGTAAAATCAGATACTCCCCACCCCTCTGCTCCCTCAGGTGCTCTGGCATCCGTGGACATCTGGCTTATTTCCCCTAAGTAGCCCTGTCTCCCCTGTCAACAGGCAGGCATTTGCAAACTCCTGGCACAGTGCAAAAAGCTAGGATCCTTGGCCACCCTCTCAAAAGGATTAAATCACTCAAAACAACACTAAACAAGTCACAGACAGTGGCGTACATGGGGTAACAAAGAACCTGCGTCCATCACGCCGGACCTTGGTCTCTATTTGGGTGGTGTGTGCTCTGCCTGGCCCTGGCTCTCCTGCATGCTTCTCAGGCCAGTATGCTCATTCCCATGCCTGTGCCATCTTGCTCCACGCCAGCCTGACAGTGAGCTCACCTCTTGTCAGTTCTCACACAAAGTCAGGTGCAGGTAATCAAAATTTAGAGACTTCCTGAGGACAGGTTACTGGCCCTCCATCGGTGACTGCCAACTTGGAATAAGAGGGTCACGGTTCCACCTCGATCTGTGCCCAGTGACTCAGGTATGCCAGCTGCTGACAGACCTCACCAAGAGTTAGAGCTGCCCACAATGGCAAGACGGTTGGGGTCACCACCATTGGCAAAGGTCAGCAGACTCCTTCTGGGATGACCCGATCAGCAATGACCCCTACATGCTCTGCTGTTCAGTCTCTTCTGTCGGGTTCCTCCTCCCAGCCAACACCATAGCCAGCCCTCTAGGACCCCTCACAGCTTTCCTTGACTGCCTTTCTTACTTCTGTTGCCCAGATTTCCCTACTTATCCCAGGAGCCCTTTTCTGGGCTATGCACCTTCACATATGCTGATCCCTCTTTCCGGCAAATTCATGTGCAATACCCAGCTAAAATATCTTCTCTTCCAGAGTTCCTCTGGCTGTGGATCTATCTCCTACCTTCATCTGTCATTCTGGGTCTATTTCCTCCATTGAACCAGAAGGTTCTAGAAAGTTCTAGACCTTCTTCTTTGGCCCAAACAGTCCTATGGTGCTTAAGCTCCTGAGCCTCAGTTTTCCTGATTGGATAATGGCATTGCAGACAGGAAGGAAAATGCACAGGACAGGAAAGGTGATGACTGTCCCTGTAGCAGCCACTTGGACCAGAGCAGAGCCAGCCTGGACCTGGGGACATGAGAATAACGGTGACCATGTGCATCCCAGGAAAGGAGGGGCCAAGCGGAGAACAGACTGTGGAGCGTTTTTTCCCAGCTGCTCAGAGCCACCTTCTTCTCCTGTCCTTCCCCGACCCTGCAGAGGGAGCCATCTCTGCCAGGCCCACACACCCTGATCTCATACCATACCGGTCAGGAGACCAAAAGGAGAATTTGTCCCCTAGCCAAAGGCCAGCTGTCCTCACAAAAGTCACAAGGCCTGATGTAGGCAAAGGCTGAGCCTGAGTATGGCAGGGGCCCCTCCTCCTGTCCTCAGCCTAGCCAAGGCTGTGGTCAGAAGATGGGACTCCCAGTGCCCAGGGGGCTTCAGGGAGCCAGGAGTGTCCTGGATGTCACCTCAAAGCTCTGCTCCACTCAAGCGATGGGAACACTGAGCTGGGTGTCAAGTAATGGGCCCCGGATCCCACGGCTGGTAAGTGGGAGCCAGGATTTGAACCCACCTCTGCTTCTTCACCTGGGCCGTTATCTGCCATGCATGTTCTCATCCCCAAGACTTTGGCCCCTGCTCCAGCTCCAGGCCACATGTTCAGTGTGTGCATCTGAAGCGGCCTTTGAGAAGCAGCAGGTGAAGATGCGGGCTCCCCAGGAACTCCTGGTGTTGTTTCCACGGAGGGTCAGAGGCCTGTGGAGAGCCTGTGCTTCAACCAGGTGCAGCCGAGCTGTGCCCCTGCTGCTTGGGCAGGGCCAGGGAAAGCCCCAGGTCCACCTTTCCATGCAGTGACCTGCACTTATCGAGCACCTGCTGTGGGTGCTGCCACACGAGCAGTGTTCTGCCACTTCCTTGCCTGTGCCCCTTTTGAGCCCCTCCCCCAGCCTTTACGACCTTGGTCATAGTGGTGCCCAGCTGTACCAGGCACCTGGAAGGGAGCCAGGCCCAGGGTGGACACTCCCTGCTTTACCATGGTGACCAGGAGACAGACAACACACAGGCCACCGAACCTGTCACTCAGGAAGTCAGGGTTGCTGAGAGTTGGGGGCGAGGGGCAAATCAAGCTCTGCGCATCCCCAGGGCTTGTCAGGAGGGCAGCCTGGAGGAGGCGGCACCAGAGCTATATACTGAGAAGGGCAAGATCTGGGGAGAGCAGGAGTTGAAGGAACCGAGCAAAAGAAGAGTGTCCCCAGCTCCCCCTGTGCTGTCTCTGTCGCTCTTGGTGTCTGTCATCATCCACTGCGGGACCTTCACAGTGTACTCCCTGGAGAGTGCTGTCCAGTTTCCAAGGCCCGCCCCCACTCTTGGATCCTCACATCTACTGAGACACCAGATAAGGCTCAGAGAGGAAAGGTCGCCCAAGGTCACACAGCCAGGTGTCCCCAGCCCAGCCCAGGCCTCCTCCTCTCACCACCTGCCGCTCGCCTGCTCCAGAAGGCAGCGGCTGGAGGCTGCCGCACCCCTCCCAGGCCCATCAGCCTCCGGGGCAGGCTGGTGGGCGAGAGGCTCCGCACCAGCCCATATATAACCCACTCCGCACACCTTCCCCGCATTAATAAATGGGGAACCGAGGGGCCATAAATCCTGGGGCTGCCAATGTCCCCGGGACCAGCTCTTTCTCTGGCCACGCACTAGTACTTTTTACAACCCATTAATTAGTCCCTCTAATAAAGTTTGACAAAATGATAACTTGCCCATGAAAAGTGTTGTAATAAATACATTTTCCCTAACTTTCGACCATTCGAGCGTGCCTGCCTCATAAACCCGCCGCCATGGTTCACTGCCCTATTGTCTCTCTATATTTCTCCATCACCCTGGAAGTTCAGGGCCTAGGGCCTTGTGGACTTGGGATAGACCTGGGCCTGACTCCGGGCACCCAGCACCTCCAGGCAGACAGCTGTGGGCAGTGCCTCCCCTGCCCACAGAATTTCTGTGACTCCCAAGGCCCAGGACCCAGGTTCCCAACTCCAGTCCCATGTTTCCGGGTGCAGCTTCCAGGGGACCCTTTCCTGGGTAGTATGTTTTCTCTAACTGTTTTCCTTTATGTAAGTTTG